TGTAGATTCTCTTGCAGTCTCTCCCTTCCTTCTCACTAAAATATTGAAATTTTCTTTTATATGTGTAGAAATAGAATCTGTGTTTAGTGTATATATTGTGCTGGGGTCATTATTCACTATAAATATAAGAAAAGAACAAGTGGACTTAATAGTTCCATGTTTTCACTGAACAATTCAGCCAAACTAAACCCCTTTACAATGAGAAAAGAAAAAGGAGAAAGAAAAGGAGTTAGAAAATCTTATGCTTTAGGATTAAATGAGTTATGCTTTAGGATTAAATGAGATTAATACAAGAAGTTAAGTAGTTTCTTCTTTAAATTGAGCTTTTCGGCCGTAAGCTTATGTTCTGAACAAACTCAGGGTATTCTCATTGGGTTTGATAATCTGGATGGGGTGATTCACATAATACGTGAAGCTTCAAGTAACTCAGCCACAGTGGCTGGTTTGCATAATGGTAAACTCCTTATTTAAGCTTACGAATTGGCTTATTTCAGCTGGAAAACTTTTCATTTTGTATCCCTATCTTTTGAAGAGTTCTACTTGTTATTGAAATGAAAGCATTTAATCATGCCTTGAGATTCTTTATCATTTAGCTATTTAATTTGGTTAAGTAATACATATTTGCAGCTTTCAGTCTGTTAGGTTCTCGGAAATGTAAGAGGGGAAAAGTACATTATTCGTCCCTGAATTTTATTAATTGTAAAAAAATTACAAAAAGGAGGCTACTCCTTTCACACTGGAATTTGTCCTGTTTTTTTCTATCTACTCAACTCCTATCTTCCTCCTACCTAACAGAGGACTTATTTATATCAAACTGATGTAAAATAAATTAACCAATTAACTAACTACTACTGAAAACCTAACTAATAGGTCAAAGGATAGAATAGCTTTAATTCCTACTTTTACCTTTCTTCCTATAATACACTTTTAATGTTCTATTTGTATTCTGTGGTCTAACAATACCTCTCCCTCTGAAAAATCATTCTTGCATTTCTTGGCCTCTTCTAGCTTCTTGTTGGTCTTCCTCCAATTGCTTCATCACCGTTCTAAAACCTCTTTCCAATATTTTCAGTTGAGCTTCATCCTCCTATGTTCTGTGAAAGACTACCTAAATTGGATGTTTTGATACCGGTGATAGAAGTAGATTGGGATATAATTAAAATTCTAGGGAACCTTTAGTCTCTTGACCTATATTAAAGAGATATAAAGCAGATGAGTAAATGTGCATACAGACTCCTCTAGGTGTTTGAGAAACCTGGGTTCTCCCCCCATAATTCCACTCCAAAACCAAAAGGTTTTGCTGTTCTCACTATTATTTTCACCTTTTAGGACATCCATGTGATTCATGTATCTAATGTTAACGCATTCAGTGTTCTCTGGAATAAGTATTTAGTAAGTAACACTCTTATTCTTATCCTAGACAATAATAAGAAAAGTGATTTGTTACTAGACACATAATCAGATGTACCAGAGTCAAGAAACCGAGGTTTAAGAGAGGAGAGAAACAAAAGATATGGGATTACAAGACTTGGAGTTGAGCTTTTGAATCTGAACACACATGAACCAAATGGCATTCAACAATAAGCAGGTGAGTTTATTTGGGTATTGGGTCAAACGAATTAAAAATAAGTTAACAGTGGATAGTATTGGTCAGGTTCGGTTTATCCAACTTGCTTCGATCGGTAACTGAACTGACTGAACTCACATACAAAACTTTCGAGACTCATTCATGCCCAAGATAAATCTTCCTTCATCCATCTATTTATCTCTATATCTGTCTATCCCTTGCCACCCACAATTGAACACCCAACAACATTGCTACTTCTAACTTCTAAGAGCTCAAACTTCTGACTTTTGAGAGCTCCAACTTCCTGAACCTTAAACAACACACTCTCTCCAACTTCTGTTTGTGTAGCTTGCTCCTTTGCTGTTGAATCCTAAGCCGCGACCAATGACAACTTTGAGGAGCAAGGGCTTGAAGTGCAGAAGGCTTAGATATATTTGGTGAATGTTGTGAGGGTGAGACTAAGGCTTAGCCTCTGATAACAAATATAAAGGAGAGAAAATGATTGTTGAATGTTGTGTGTCTCTTGTCCACTACTCTATTATTTATACTCATGTAATAGGGTACAAAGAATTCATCAAATCTCTGAAGATTAGGTAATTACGATATTTACAATAATGACTAATATGAAGTTATCTAACAAATTGGATACCTACTAGTTGGTTGTTACTTCTTTAAGGCATTTGTTTGGTGAATTTTTGTCAGGAGAGTTATTTTGATGCGACTTGATCATGCTGGAAAGATTCAGTCCACTTCCTTGATCTCCGCAACGGATTGTGAGCCTGAAGAAGTTGTTGCTATTGCTCAAGGCTAGTTATAGAATAACTTCATTGTCTAGAAGAGGTTACTTCACCAAATGCCTGACCATTGGAGTTGTAGTGCCCTTGATGAAAAGCTGATGCTTGATCCCTGAATCTGTGCTTGGATGTGTTTTCTCTGGAGATAGTCCTAGTTTTCCTCATGCTCCATATATACGAAGCTGGGGTGTGGGGTGTAGTTTATTCTTCAGGCTCTGTAAATTATAATGTGACTGAAAGAGTGAGAAACATACACCAGAGGCGATGGATAATAGTTATGGGTGCAAAATTTTAATCAACTCTTCATTTTTGTAACAGCATTATTAAAAAAGGTAACCATCATCTCTTGGGTTTGAGTTATACTTCTTTATCCTTGAGAACCTTCTCGCCAGATCAAATTTACCATTTTATGTGAACTTTTTCTCAAACTATCTAGTTTGGTGATGTTATTTTTTTAAAATAAAAAAATCAGCTTTGACCCAAACAAAATGGTAATAGCTCGTGTAAAAACTGTATTAGCAAAAATTGGTTTTTATGCATGATTTGGGATTATGATTCAATTTGGATAAACTTGTTCTTTCAGGAGAAAAAATCAATATAAAAAATGAATAACATTTTTTATAAGTTAGAAATAATTTATTTTTTCAAATTTTAAAAAATTTAAGAGAGGAGCATAACTGTTTATAACTATTCCGAGTTATATTTTTGAGTGATTATAATCCATTTTTAATAAAAAAAAATGACCAAAAGGGGACACTAGCTTCTCAAATTTGTAAACAATTTTAATCCTGATGAAGTTCAGGATGGTCAAATTGACACTCCCTTGGCTTGAAGGTTCTTATTTAGTTTCTACCAAAGCTGTAAAATTTGTTCTCAATCCTTATAAACTTTTTTGGTAAGATGTAATTCATACTTTTTTTTATGAACTTTTATTTTTAATATTTTTAACTAATAAAGTCCACTAAAATATTTGACAAGTATCGTTGGATTATATGTAAAAATTAGTAGTTCTTAAAAGAGTAACGACTATATTTTAACATTGATAATAATAAAATATAATAAAAAGTTTTTTAATAAAAATTATTATTTATAAATGTTTAAAATTAACTTTTAAGACCCGATGTTAATAAAGCTAATAATAACAATAATAAAATGCTAACTAATATCTTAGAATATTGGTTGAATTTTTTTTAAAAAAATTATTAAAAAGTGTTAAAAGACACTCATCTCTTTAATGCCTTTTAATATAATTTTTAAAAATAATTTACTATTTATTAATTTTGTACTTAGTATCTTAAATATATTAGTTATTATTATTATTTGAGCATTATTATATTGCTTTTTTAAATTTAAAAAATAATAAATAATTTAAAGTGTATTTTTAAAAAAATCCAAGACTCAATTACTCCATCATATCCAAACTACTCTTAATCATTTTTGTTTGTTTCGATTTAGAAATTCAAAATTCAAAATTTTAACAACTATATTCGTTTCTATTTTAATTAGTTTGGATAATTTTTTTTTTCCAAATCCAACTGGTCAATAAATACTAGTTACTTGTTTAAAATAGAGAGTGTAGTATAAAAAAATAAGAAATCTATTAATATTCTTATTTATATTACTTTTTCAAAAAAAAATTATTATATTTTTTTATCAATCTAAATTATCTCTAATACTGGTAAAAAAATATAAATAATCTCTTAATAATTACTTTTCCTTTCATTTATTTTCTACCACTGTAGTTAATGTTATTGATTGTTTAAGAAAATACTTCTATCTATAATTAATATTTCAAAATTGTGAAAATCATAACTACAAAATAAGAGTATAATTAAAAAAGAATTAATCATAAGAAACTGTAGACACATAATAATGAAAAAACATAAATATAATTTATTAAATACTATAATTTACTTTAAATATTAAATGACTTTGTATTTTTATATAATAATATTTAAATATTTTTTATTTTAAAATTTTGATCATGGGTTCATAAATATACAATATATAATTTCTTGAAAAAAAATGACAAATATAAAAATAATTTTTTCCTTCTAAAAAGTACAATAGACGCGTAATATTTTTTTTCTTTTTTAATCATGTACAATGAGATGGAGAAAGCAAAAAAATAAATGTGGTAAAATATATAAATACAATATTAATGTTTAAAGATGTTGTTTAATTAACACAGCTCATTTAATAAGTTTATTAATTCTAAAGTACCTGCTCAAATAGGAAAGATCCTTCTAAAGTAATATGAGGAAAAGATGGTTATCCTTGTACTCAGCAATAGGAGGATGCTTCAACAAATTACCATGCTCTTAATGAACAATAGAGCATGCAGGAGCGTTTCAACTTGATGTTTTCCATTCTGATTCCTAGAAGAGATCGAGCTTGACCAAAACAAACAATAACAATCTCCATAATAAAGCATAAACAACAAGAGGAGAGAAGAAGATCTCTGTAATCCTCTATTTAGGTTCACAAACACATAAAATGCAATGAAATGGAATTATTATAAGCTAAATAGTCCCACCCCAGCATGTGATAAACACATGAGAGTGGTCATTGTGGCATGCACATCGATCATGCACCTGCATATATCGAACTGCATGCACTTGTTCTTGATAGGGACTCGATCACTGCAGGGTGTCGCGGTTGATGTAAGGATAAGGATCAAAGGTGGGAACATAAGGGGCTGAGGCTGAGGCTGAGGCTGAGGCTGTGGCAGTGGCAGAGGCATCATCCCCGTACAACCCTTGCGAGGGGTCAATGTCCAACATTCCAAAGGCTTGAGAATATAGCGGCGGTGGTGGCTGAGGTGGTGGGTGAATAGAGGCAGAAGCACGTCTTGCGGAAGCGTGTTCTCCTTCGTTCTCACGGTAGCGGTGAAGGTAAAGGCTGAGAGGGTGAACGTAGTCGTCGAAGCCAAGCTTTGCCATTGCCCAAAGCACGTCCTCTGCAGTAACGGTCTTCCTCTGCTCGCGCTGGCAACGATCGTTGGCTTCGGCGGTGATGAAACTGATGTACTCAGACACGCACTCTTGAATCGTCTCTTTGGCATCGTCTGAGATCTTGGCGTGTGGCGGAAGAGTCCTTCGCATGATCCTTATCACGTTCGCGATTGGCATGTACTGGTCCTGTTCCCTCACTCCAGCCATTTCTTCTTACTTTCACACCTGAAACTTCAACATGCAGTTAACATCAAATTGTTTATCAATCAACATAATAGGCACGCAAAAGAAATACATCATAGTGAGATGAAAAGGAAGGTTTTTGTGGCGTGGAGCTTTTCTTGAACAATAATACAAAATCACATCTTCAACTAATTCTATAATGTAATAGAAGATTTAATCAAAACTTTACCTGGTGGTGGTGAGATGTTTGCACAGTAAATGAAAAATGGAGAAAAGAGGATTGGTGTAATGCTCTATTGCCGAAGGAGGGATTTATGGAAGGTTCTGCCATTGTTGAAGCGCCCAATGGGATAAGAAAAGGGTGAAGCAATTAATAAAAAGGAAAGTCTTGGAATTACCACTTCACAAGAGAGACATTTAATATTCTTGAAAATTTCACAGTCTCTAATATATTTAATAGAAGTTTAAATTTTATTTTAATGCTTCATTAATATTAATTTATTTTAATTTAAATGACTAAATTATCCATGATAATGTTTATTATTTATATTTCAAATTTTTAAATATATATTGATAATTATATTTTAAACATTTTCTTAAAAATAAAAGAAATATTTGTAATATTTAAACTTCGATTACACATGTATAATGTCTTTTTCATAAGGATTTTAAAAGGACAAATTATATAGAAAATATTAATAAACTTCCATTCAAAGATAATTTTTTTAGTGATGATTTTATTTCATAAATTTAGATTTTTTTATCAAAGTAAATATAATTAATGAATCAAAATGATAAATAAGTCAATTCTCCCCATCTTTGATATTTTGTAATTACTCTCACAATTACAATGAGAGTAAAAATATATTGACTTTCATGTTTTCAAACTTTTATAGGTTAAAAATTGAGAAACTTCTAAGTGTTAGTAATTGATAAATAAATATAGGATCAATTAAAATTTATGGTTAATTAAATTAAAGAATTTTCAATAATTGTATAGCTAATAAAAGAGATTATCCACTTTTTTTATTAAGAGTTTTTTGAACTTGCAAGACGTTATCCCATCAAGAAATTATTTCTCACTTGTGCAACTAAGTTAACACCAAATCGTTAATCAATCAACAAAATAGACATGCAGAAGAAGATACATCAAAGTGAAATGAAAACGAAGATATTTGTGGCGTAGAGCTTCTTTTGAAATAATAATGCAAAATCATACATTCAACAATGTAATGTGATGGAAGGTTTAATCAAAACTTCATCTTTATCGAGAAAGTCTTCGATGGAGAGATATTTACACAGTGAATGAGAAATGGACAGAAGAGAGGAAAGGACGAGAGGATTGGTGCAATGCTGTGTGGTAGAAAGAGAGATTTACGGAAAGGGCTAACATCGTTGAAGAGCCCAACAGGATAAGAAAAATGTGAAACAATTAATATTTAATATACAAAAGTAAAGAACAAAGTATTGGAATCCGCCACATCACATAAGAGAATTAATATTCTTGAAAAATTCATGCTCTCTAACGTATTTGATAGAAGTTTGAATTTTGTTTTAATGTTTCGTTAATATTAATTTATTTTGATTTAGATGACCAAATTGCTCATGATAATATTTATTATTTTTATTTTTATTTTATTAAATATATTTATAATTATATTCTAAACATTTCCTTAAAAATAAAAGAAATATTCTGAATACTATACTTCAACTGAGATTACACATGTACAATATATTAAAAAGATAATTACATAAAAAATATTAATAAACTTACATTCAAAAATTACTTTGTAGTGATGATTCCATTACATAAACTTCAATCGTTTTTTTGATTTTGTGTCAAATTATATGTAATTGATGAATCAAAATGATAAATATTTAGTAACTACTCCACAATTACAGTGAGAGTAAAAATTTATTGAGTTCCATGTTTTCAATGTTCTATCGGTTAGAAATTGAGAAACTTCTATGTATTAGAAATTGAAAAATAGATATAGGATCAATGAAAATCTACAATTAGAAATTGAGAGCTTTTTGACCTTGTAAGAAATTATCTTACTAATTTTTTTTTCTCGCTCGTCAATTAAGCTGTGGAGAACTATAACTTTACTAAATAAATTATATATATATATATATATATATATATTATGTTAATAAAAGTAAAGATTTAATAACTTATACTATTTTTTGTTATAATTTATTATTTTAAATTTAAACAATTAAATTTCAATAACAATAAATAAAAAATTAAATTATCAAAATAAAAAAAATAATTTTTAGATGAATAATATAAACTCATAGATAATATAAATGACCTTTTAACTATATATTAATTATTTTGACTTCACACACACACACACATATATATATATATATATATATATTCATCCACTAAATTAAAAGAATAAATTTTTTAGTTTAAGTTATTTTTTTTATATTTTAAGCTTAAATAATTAAAGTTTAGATATCAATTAAAAAAATAATCATAATAAAAGAATGAATATCTAATATTTTCAGTTAAATAGTGCGTGCAACATGGTGAACTTTTTAATTATTTATTCTATCAATATAATCAATCAAACTTCGCCATTCCTTTCTAAATAAAATTTATTAAATATATACATGTGATGTTAGTAAGTTCTTCTAATAAATCGAGAGACTAAACTTTTTGTTCTAAATTAAAATTTTCTTATAATTTATCATTTTAACTCATGGAGTTAAAGATTAAACATTAATACTAAAAATTCAAATTGTGGATACTCACTGCAGCCTGTTAAGAATTTCTATTACAATTACCTGTGAAAAACAAAATAATGTATGACCTTGTTAACTGGCAAATATTTAATGATCTTATGGCGCGCAAAAACAAGCACAGAACCCCCCCAGCTTCACACTAGACGTAGAAAGGGTTTTAGAGCCTTCTTTTTCATTTCCCTCTTTTGCCTCATCCAAAATCCCTAAAACCCCACTCTCTCACTTTTCCAATGGCTCCAACTATTTCAACCCTATGAAACCCTTTCCCCTCCAAAACCCCAATCTTCTCTACAAACCTTCTTCCATGGCATTCTCCTCCGCACTTCGAGTCCTCAGACTCTCCCCGCTCGCTCCCTCGCGCCTCCCTTGGCTCCACCATAATCCCTCGCAGCTTCGCTTTCTCTCTTTGCGGCGCCCCGCCAGAGCGGTTCAGGGTGCCAGGCGCCGTGACGAGCCTGCACGAGCTGGAAATGGAAATGGGAGCATCACCGTAATGGATAGCGGTAATGGTAACGGGAGTGAGGGAAGGGTTGTGACAACGGAGCTTCACAAAGAGGCAACGGAAGCCTACATGGCTTATGCTATGTCGGTGTTGCTTGGTCGCGCATTGCCCGATGTTCGGGACGGTTTGAAGCCCGTGCATAGAAGGATTCTGTAAGTAATGTTAGACATTTGTGGAGTATAAGTGTTTTGTTTTTTGAATCGAATATGCTTTATTATTTGAGGGTTACTGGAAATTTGAAATGTTTTCATTTGAGATTTGCTTCTTTTATTTTTCTCTTAATTCAGAAGACGAGGAAATTTAATTTGAAAATTTATTTAATAATGGAATTGTTTCTACTTTGGGGAGTGTTTGCTAGAAATTTTGAACTTTTTTCAGTTGGGATTTTTCTTTTTTAGTTTTTTCCTTACTTACTAGAGGAAGAAATTTCAGAAATCTCAAAGTTTTGTTTTTCTCTCCCTGAAACCAAATTTTCTGGATTTTGTGTAGACCTCTTTATTTTTATCACAATGGATATTGTAGATGATGCAATTTTGTTTGGCATGGGGAAAACAGTCTTAAAATGTCTTTTTCCTTTTATTTGGTCTCTTGCATTAATGTATCACTTGATAGATGTTGGGTGTGTTTGGACTTTGGATTCACAGCTTTATCAAGTGTTTGTCTAATAAGTTCTTTTAAATAATAACTCATGACATAAATTTAACGATGAAACTTATTGAAATAAGCTGAAAATAACTTATTTTGATAAATTATACCGATAAACTTATTAAAACAAGCTGAAAAGAGTTAATAGGAGTCGTAAACTGTTTCCATAAGCTGTCTATAAACTCCTCCAAACATACCTTTTGTTCTGTTAGAGATTGGTTCTGAATCTTCTGATGTTATTCTGCTTTCTCATGAGTAATTTTATTCCGTGAATTATTGGTATATGATATTAATGGAGTTCAAAATGTTAATTAGGGCAGGCTGAATAATGTTTGTGATACAGAATGTTATTGTATGAATTATTGGTATACAATACATCTTTGCTTTCATTGGTTCATTAGTTGTTATTGAAGTTAAAAAGTTAGTGCATGTTACTTTGGTTTAAACCTACCATTTCAATTTTTGTGAATCATGTGAAGTTTCTGAGATGGTCACATAAAGTTTGCAGTGTAGCAATGACATAATCTAGGGTAATATTCTTTGTGCTCCTAATTGTCTATTTGCACACTTTACCAACTAATTTTCAGAGAAATGTAAGTGGACAAATAAAAATACTAATTACAGCTTATTTGAATTCAAAATTATTTGATGGAGTTAAGTTTAGGAAATTATAATTAAAAGTAATTAGGGGGAATCCTGAATAGACAATTGGGTTTGGGTAACCCCACTCCTTTAGCATATTGAGTTGCTGAAATTTGATAATTATTATTGAGATGTGATTATAAAGCAAGCTACTGATTCGAATGCAGATTTGCAATGCATGAGCTTGGCCTCTCATCCAAAAAACCGTTCAAGAAGTGTGCAAGAGTTGTAGGAGAGGTTAATATCTAGCCATTATTGTTAAATTCTTAATGTTATTGAAGCACCCAATATGTTCATCTAGAAGAATGTTTGGACTACTTATTATCCATTGTCAATTGTTTTTTTTTTTTTACTACCTGTTTGATATGCCAATATATAGTGTTGTTATTGTAGGTATTGGGAAAATTCCACCCTCACGGAGACACTGCTGTATATGATTCATTGGTTCGAATGTCCCAGGTAAAACCATAGTTTTTGACTTTCCATATTATTTGAGTTTAAGCTTCATATCGTGTTTGCTTGGATTAAGTATGAGAAAAAGATTATTTTAATAATTTATTATTTTAAAATTGATTATTGTTGTTATCAACAAATGAAATAAGTTTTATGTTTGTTAGAAAGGGATTTTTAGATGATCTATTTTGTTTGGATTGTCTAAAAGAATAACTTTTTCTAAGTAAAATTACAAAAAAAAAGGTATGGAGTTTTATTTTAAAAATTAGTTTTGCATTTAAAATTATCAATGTTGAAGAAAAAAAATGGGAAAACAGGTTAAATAGAAAATAATCTGTTAGCTTTTATCTTACGCTACAAAATTTTCCTTATGATAAAAAACTTTTTTCTTATCACTTTGATAATTTTACCGAATAAATCAGGTTTTTGAAAAGGTGCTTTTATTCTAAAATATATTTTCTTCCCCAAAATTAATCCCACCCAAACATGCTTGTATATTTTTGGATGATCATTGTTTATCTGTAATATCATATAACATTGTTGGTATTTTGTAACTGATTAATTATGTTAAACAATTATTGTTCCCTTTTAAAAGTTCTCTTGCAAATTTGCAGAAAAGAAAAAATATATTCCCAACATATGCTAATGCAGACATGCAATAACTGTTTTTCTTCCCTAAATAAGTATCATATTTGGCTTAAATGTGCTTTTAATCTGTCTAATTATGATTATATTTGAGTTTGGTCATCTTAAATTAAAATTTTGAAATGGTTCTCGTCATTGCCCCTTAATGGTGACGTAAGATGCTAATAGACATGACAATTTTTAGGTGGCTTGTGATGTGACATGTCTAGGTGCTTGCTGCATCACTAATAAATGGTGATACAGACAATTTGTGTGGCAGTTGAAGATTCTGCTGTTGTTTTATGGCATTTAGTCTCTGTTCATTCTGGTGTATTAGCTGCTCAATAACAGGCTTCATGATGATGACAGTTTTATCTTTGCACCAAAAACACATCTATCAAGTGTTTGTTTATGTGTGTAAAAATGTTTACAATAGATTATCCTAGGTATTTCAATTTTTGTTGATCTTGTTGAATTAGGATTAGGAGGTAATTGTTCCAGAGACTTGCTTGTGGTATTTTAGCATTACATAGCTTTCTTGTTCAGTCTTCATTAGTATTTTGTCCTTTTCAAAGGAATAGATATTATTTACCTTGTATATTTTGTGAGCAGCGATCTAATGAGTAATTACTATTTTGAGTGATGTTTGTTGTGGAAAAAAAAAGTCTTCAAATCTTACACTTCTTTTCTTTTTTCCGTCATAATTTGAGTTTTCCAATTTTTTTCAGGATTTTTCCTTACGTTGTCCTTTGATCCAAGGTCATGGAAATTTTGGTTCAATTGATGCTGACCCTCCTGCTGCCATGCGTTACACTGAGTGCAGACTAGAAGTAGGTGTTTAACTGATTTAGTCTTTAAATATAAACACTACTTCTCTAATCATATCAACTTCATTCTTATAACAGAAAATGAAATGCAAAGTATTCTCCAATCTATAATTGTTTGTGCTGGTTTATTACTGCTAGGTAAAGAAATTTTATTGTTATACAGTATACATTGGAATCTAACATTTAAGGTGCTAGATGTGAAATATTATATTCATGAAATCTGTTTCCTTTCAAAAGTGTGAGAAGGAAAAGAAAATTGGAAGACAATGTAAATTTTTTATATGCATGATTTATGATTAATGTGTGTGTGAAAAATCAGTACTCAGTTGTTGATATGATTGGCCTTTCAAAATAGTGATATTTACTCGCATTGCCTGAAGCTCTGAAGTCAGAGGGGTTTGGTCTCAAGAAACTATTGCTGGATATATTTTGTCTGCTAAAAAAATTATTAAAATTGGGTCTTAAAGGATTAAATTGACTAGGAACTTCAGGAAGTAATAAGTTTTTAGCATCATAACCGTGAATATTGGTTGCTCTCTTTTACATTGTGAAAACTTATAAAATGTTGCTTATATTTGGTTCTGTTCTTAAGCTTTATTTTATTGTTGCTTGATAAATTTGTATTGCTTGGACATGAGATGCCTATAAGGTGTTTTATCTTAAGCTTTGTCATTGCTAAGGTTTTACAAATGATTACGATTGAAAATTCTTGTTTGAAGAGTCCCTTTCTTTCCTTTCCCAAATTTTCTATTTTACGAGGGTGTTATGAATAAAAATAGGTTATAAACCTTTTGTTCAATAAAACCCCATAACAGGTTGTTGGAAGTGAACTTTGAATGCTAATTTAGTGATCAATAAGAGTTGGTTTTAATGGATCAGCATAAAGTTTTACTTGTTCTAAAGTTGCTGTGTAAGAGTGTTGTATTTTTTTTTGTGTTCTTCCATGTTCATTGAATTGATTTGACATATTGGCATCGTTTTGAAGGATGGTATTTGTTTCTTGGTCTGAATTTGCAGGAACTGACTGAAGCAATGTTGTTGGCAGATCTAGAGCAAGATACAGTTAGTCACTGCTGTTCTTTGTCCTGTGATTTATGGGTTTTCTAATTTAATTTAACATCAATAACTTAAAGTGAATTTTATGTCTATGTTCCTGATTGCAGGTTGATTTTGTTCCAAATTTTGATAATTCGCAAAAAGAACCGTCACTTCTACCTGCTCGTCTTCCCACCTTATTGTTGAATGGTTCTTCTGGCATTGCGGTAATTTTGGGTTCCTTTTTGCATGCCTGAAACAATTGTTTATTGACAAATCAATGCATCTTCTCATGTAGAGCTGTCTGTTTTTATCTTTTTCAGGTTGGCATGGCGACTAATATCCCTCCTCATAATATCGAGGAAGTAGTAGATGTGCTCTGTGTGTTGATACATAATCCAGAAGCTACTGTGAGTGGCAAATCTTTAGTCTTTATTTCTTTTTCTTTTTGATTAGAAAGGAAATATCTTAATAAAGATACAAAGATATGCAACCAGATGTGTCCCAGAACAGCAAACACTGCTCAGTCCCAAGGGACTTGATCGCTTTTGTTCTTCTGAACTATTTAAAGCTGATTGTCACAAATGTCTTTATTGACTGATTGATAATGTCAAAACAGATATGTAACTGGTTCTAAACTGTTCATACGCATAACACAAATATTATGTGAGACGGCTGATTTGGGTCTCTGAATCTGCAACAAACCATTTAGTATTGAGTGTGTTCAGATTCATAGGTTAATTAAGTGCATATTCAATATATATATATATTTTTAATGATGGCTTATGCCGTAAAATTAACCATGAAACTTATAGAGATCAGTGTTGTTAAATGGCGGCCATGGTGGCGCCATGACAGAATTCAGTGGTGGTTTTTAACCCCAGCCTTACTGTTTTCTGGCGTTTTTCCATGGCGGCTGTTACGTGCATGGCAACTGCGGCCATGGCGGAAAATGTAGAAAAATGGAGTTTTTGTGGGAAAAATTGAGTTGGGCCACTGATTCAAGCTGCTCAAAAAAGAAAATCTGTGAGCCCAAACCCTAAATCACATATTTTCTTCCTTCATTGCTATTGTGCTGCTGTGGAGTGGTGGTCGGCCACATGATGCTTGCTGTGAAGTATTTCTTTATTCGCAGAGGTTAAGCCCTAATTGCCCTTGCTATATGTATTTTAGGGTTTTTTTAGGGCAAAATAGACTTTTTCCACTTAAAATTTTTTCCTTCTCTTCTCAAGCTGTAAATTTTTGAAGGGTAAAATTTTGAGGGTTCTCTCTGCTCTGTTTTTATTCCTTCTTCTCTAAAGCCAACTTCTCCTTCATCGCCTTCACCACTTTTGCCGAAGAAGACATCCTTTCTGGCAATTTTGAGTGGAAGGCCCTGTTTTTTGACATCCATTTTCCATTTTGCTTCTATGGGCTCTGTCCCTCTTTCTTAGTTTTTCCCTGTCTTATTCCTTGTTTTTTTTCCAATTCTGTTTTTCCCTCTCCCATTCTGTTTTACTACCCCATTTTTTTGGTTTTTCCTTATTATTTTGTTTTCTTGATTCTATTTTTCTGTTTTCACTTCCAAGTTTCCTTCTCCATATTTATTTTTAATTTTCTACTTTTTTGTTATAACTTCAGCTTTTTTTCAATTTGTACAACCATTTTATTCTTTTTTTCTCAGAACCTTCCTCCTTTTATATGTAGTTACTAGTTAGTATTCTAGTTTTATATCACATTTTGCAATATATATATATATATACTTATTTATTATGACCACCATTATTCCGCCATGGCATCTGCCATAATTTTATGGCAGGTTTTTTGCTTTCCGCCATTGATAACATTGATAGAGATAAGCTAAAAATAACTTATTTTGATAAGTTATACAAAAAAGTTTATTGAAATAAGCTTAGAAGAGGTTATAAGAGTTATAAATTATTTTTATAACCTGCCCATAAGTTCTACAATTCTATTTGTTTCTACTATTTAGTACTGCAGTCTGGACAAAAATCGTCCCTCATGCTAGGAGTTTTGGATTTCCAAGTTCATTAATCAAGAATAAATTTATTTCTACTAAGAGAATCAGTTACAAAATCTTTAGTATCTTTGTCTCTAATTTGCACAATTTATAAGTTGTCATTTATTAGGGATTTGCACTGCAGTTAGGTTTAAAATAAATTAGAGGCTGCAAGGATTTCTCTTCAGGAATTCAAACTATTCCAATAGTAATGACTTAAAAAAAATAACCCATGGAAGGGTTAATAGTCTAAATTTTACTATTTAAAATAGAAATAAGAATGGAATATTTTTAGGGTAGTCTGGAGAGACTGTAAATCTTGAATATTGTCGTTATATTTCCTAGAAAATTGAAAGTTCTGAGATATTATTGATGAATGCAAAATTGTTGAATTGACCCATTATGTAAGTCGTGAATCTCTATATCACAGGAAAATAATGGAATCTTTTTTTTTTTTTTTTGTGGATGTTAGAAATTCTGTGACTTTTGATCAATGGATATTTGTAACCAAGTAATTGGTGCTTGAATCTATCTTACTGTTTGATTAAGTTAAGATTAAGTTCATACAATAAACTACATGAACAATATAGTATTGTTGACGATCTTCAGGAGGCTTATTAGTTCATATGCAATTATATTGTTTGTTTTTTAAAATCAAAGCCGAAGTAAGGGAGGATAAGTGTTGGTGGTTCAACAAAGATTTTACATAAACACATTAACTAATGAAGTTTTTATTTTTAAATGTGTTGCTTCTTGTAAAGTTTAGAGGATTTATATTGTTTGATAACCCCAGTTGGTTGTTAGTTAAAATAAGTCTACCCATTAGTCAGTTACATTAGTGATTTGGTTAGTTTGAATAAGGCATGTTGACTATAAATAAGGGCAGATAAGAGTGTAATATCATGTCATTTGTGAGTGGAAATTAGTTAGTTGATTTGCTTATTATTTTTGGGTATATATAGGCAGTTCAGAGTTATTGATAGTAATATAATTCTAATTTCTAAAAATGAAAGAAAAGTGATTTTGTTTGTGTTTGGTAAACTTAATATTCTTTGTTAATGAAATTTTCTGATTATTTTTGGTGTGTTTTAGCTGCAAGAATTGCTTGAATACATGCCTGGACCTGACTTCCCAACTGGAGGGCTGATTATGGGAAATCTTGGGTGAGTGCATATGAAGTTTTTGATTGTATTTCTTTTTCAAGGAATATTTTGGTGACCTTTTTCTATTTTTTTATTTTATTAGTGATTATTGGAAATTTTACATTGTGTAATTGTTGAAAATGTTGGCAGTGGCAGTTTAATTATGAATTAATTACTTGTGTGTGCCAAAAATAGTAGTTAATAGCTTGAATAGTGGGTGCAATAACGAACGAGCAGAGTGGAGCAGCTCCCTGCTGCAATTGTGGGGCCATCATGTCGTGGTTGTGTAGTGGCTGCTGTGCCACGATTTGTGGCTGTGAAAGGTGAAAATTGCGGCCATCATTGCTATTGTGGCCCCTATGTGAAACTAGGGCAAAAGGGAAAGTTTTCCCTCCCTTTTTGAAAGTTGGAATGCTTTTTAAGGGGTGCAATCTTGAGATTTTGCCCTTCTTTTACATCGTGATGCTCTGTGCTTGTTTTCAATCTTTGCAAGTCGAGATTGAACCCTACCCTCATCTCTTGTTATCTTGTTCTCTTGTTTCTTCCTTTATCTCACGTCACTTTCGGTTGTGCGTCCCCATTTTTGGCCATTTCTGGTCTTCATCGTTGGTGAAATCCAACTTATTTTGGACATGACCAGATACTTTTTCTAGTTGTTTTTTCATCTTTGTTGAAACCTAAACTATTTCCAACGAGATGTAGACATTTTCTGATGATAGTGACACGTTTTCCTAAGAGATCATCTATGTTAGAGCTTTTTCTAGTGACTGATCACTCTTTGATATGCTTTCCTTCTCTATTTTGATTGCCTTCAGAGTAGTGGACATTCCACTCTCTTGCTATATCGTTTTTTGGGGTCGGCCGCTCTGCACAGCTATTCGGGATTGATTACTATGGTGCCAAAATCAATAGACCCGAAGTATATTTTGTTTATGGTATATGGACTATTGATATGATTCATAATGAGTTATTGGCACCTTCTTCTCTTGTACTCTTTGAATTAAAAACTGTTGGTTACATAATAGAATGAGTTTTTGATAAAACAAAATGAGCTATGAAGAAAGTTGGCTACTTTGGTTATAGAATGTTATGAAACTTGAAACCTGTGTGATCTTGTTATTAATCATTATTTTGGAAATTAAGCCTCCGTGACTGATTGTTTTATTGTTCGAGTTCTACCAAATTTTCTTTGATGCTTTTTTTCCTTTCTTCTTAGTGCTTTTCCGAAAATGTTGTACTATGTGATGTGTGTTTGATAGATACTCATTTTTCTTAAGGATCTTGGAGGCATACCGTACTGGTCGAGGACGTGTTATTATCAGAGGGAAAACTGATATTGAATTGCTCGATTCCAAGACAAAACGGACTGCAATAATCATCAAAGAGGTAGCACTCTAGATTCTATCCGATTCTATAGAGTTACTTTTTTTTTCTTTGGATAATTGATTACAAGTTCTGTTTTGTGATTGGAATAGATTCCTTACCAGACCAACAAAGCAGCTTTAGTTGAGAAGATTGCTGAACTTGTAGAAAACAAGGTATTAGTATGTTTCATGGTTCAACAAGTTTTGTTTTTTTCAAAATGCTGTAAATTTCAATGTTCAATTTTCTTCTTGAAGTTGCATGTCTGATCACTTCTGTGCAAGTGAATTAAGAAATTTTGAGGGATAGAGATGAGTGATGACTGTGGAAGTGTTTGGAAATTTCTAAAAGCTAGACATCTAGGTGCTGTCAGGCTAGTTGGAAATTCGAAAAAATTTTGTAGCCCATATTTTCAATAGTTTCTCTCTCCAGCTATTTATAATGGTGGTCGTTGGATAAAATAAAATTCCCTAAATTTTCTAGGGGTCAGCAAGCAAGCTAAGTATTGTGAATGTAAATAAACTTGAAAAGAGATTAGATAGGAACTGGTTTGAAATAGATTTGAACCAAACTAAGGTTGAAGTTAAAGTTAGATATGAAAAAATCTGAAGTAAATTTATATGACTAGTTTATCTTTATATTTTTCTAAATCAGTTGAGATTTGCTAAACTGTTCCTAAGACACAGATTAGTAAACATCTTAATTGTGGTTTTCTGCTGAGTTTGCATGATTGGGAAACTGAGTTATCTCCTTACGGGCATTTGATTTCCTATTAAATATTTTTTGGCCTTGTAACACTTTTGAACTTCTGATTTTCACTACGATCTTATTCTCATTTCTGCTGAGTTTGCTTTTAATATTGTTGGGTTCTTAACACCATTGGCTTTGTGAGTTGGTCAATCTATCTCCTCTTTGACACATTTATTCGAGTTTCACATGGTTTGTCTGTTATTGAAGATTGTTAACCTATTGTGAGGTCAACCTTATCCATTAATCTATTTTTGTGCTGTATCCTTTTGTTCTTTTTGACTTTGTTATTTGTCAAAATTATATTTTATCCCTGCATGGGTTTTTTTAACTTATACCCTTTTAGCCAAGTTATGCTTTGAGTTGTATGTTGGTGTTGCAATAAGTTTGTAAGGTGATCCTGTTGATGATAATGTCTCAGATTGGTAATATGACTTGGTTGTTTGGATATTATTATTGTTATTTTGTTGGCTGATGTGTAGTTGGACAAGCAGCATGCTTGTAGGTTATTTTCTCTCATGCTCGTACCTTGTAAATGTTTTAACATATTTTACGTTGGCTATTAAAGGCTTAACATAACCTTCTTCCTTTACTTGGGCTTGGGACTAGTTATGGGACTATAACTGAGTTGAATTGTTAAGATGGAGGAAGGCATTGAGAATTATTTGTGACTGTAAAATATTTACCAAGCTAAAAGAGAAGTTTTATCATATCGCAATATGACCGCCTATCCTATTTAAAAAGTGAATTTTGGGCTGTCATTACTTGTTTGGTGAAACATGAGAGAATAGAAAATTATATAATAATGAGTTGGATAATGATAATATTAATAAAAATAGAATAAATTCTTATCCTATGTGATGTTTGATGTACATTAAAAAAGTAAAACAAACAATACTATATAATCTTGTATAATGTTTGAGGTAAAAAAATTGATATAAATTATATTCAAATGACAATTATTCTTTTATTAAAATTAATATAGTTTTTAAAAATAATTTTTTGTTTATCTTTTTCACTTCTTAGTAATATATATATATATATATATATATATATATTACTAAGAAAAAAATAAAAAATAGTTGTGTGAACATAGTATTAAAATTTTGATATTAAATTATAATACCTTTCTTTAAGATTTTAACAAATTAAAATTTACTTTTTTGTAAGAAATTATATTTATGAAAAATAAATTATAAAGAAATATAAAATTGTATTTTATAAAATAAGTAATTTATTTCTTCTAAAATATCATTCATAAAAAAAAGTGACTTGATAGTGTTTGATCCTTACAAAATTTGAACTTTATCCTTATAAAATATTTTATTAGGACATAGTCTCTACTTTTTTAACTAATAATTGTTTGTAGTCCTTCTATTTGATGTTGTGCTACCGAATGCTGACACTTGGTTGTATGTTAGTGGACTATGTCTGTTAAAGAGATTAAAAATAATAATTTTATCGTAGCAAAAAAATATTTAGGGACTAAATTAAAATTATGTAACTTCTGTAGAGACTGAACACTTAATTATTTAAAAAAATATTTATATAAATTTTTATAAAATGTATTAAAATTGTATTTTTTAATGAATATTACAAAATATTAAAAAGGGTATAAAGTATTAGTGAAAAAAAAATATTAGATTTATCCTATCCTAATATTTCTAACCCATCACGTCTTAAGGATAAAAATTTGAACTATTATGGTAGGATAAGTTGATTCATACGAAATAGGATAGGATAACTCTAATATGATATCCTGTTTTCTTATCTTAGCCATAAAAAATACTCAAAAGAAACAACAAAAGAAAAATGTGGGAGTTACATGGAATGCATTCGTTAAGGTGGGTGAGTAATCATACAAGAAAGGACATGATAAAAAATGATCATATATTTGAAAATATTGAAGTAACACCTATAGTAGAAAAGAAGATAGAAAATCATCTAAGATAGTTTGGTCACGTGTTTAGAAAGTCATTGGAGGCATCAACGAGGAGAGTAGATGACATGATTTTTAGTCTAGTAAAAAAAGGTAGAGAGAGATAAAATAACTTTAGAGGAAATTAGTAAAAATGATCTTTTGATAAATAATATTTTTGAGAACTTGGTTTTGACCTAGTTTAATGGCGTCGTGTGATCCATGTTGCCGACCTCACCTGGTGAAATAAGGCTTAATTATTTTTGTTATCACTTGCACTTTGTGTATTATATGTTAGCATAACATTGAATTCAGGTTTTATTGATTAATTTTATGTTTCTGGCACTATGAGTTTTTTTTTCTTAATTTTTTTTAAACAGAGTTTGGATGGTATAAGTGATATTCGGGATGAGAGTGATCGTTCTGGAATGCGTATAGTCATTGAGGTAAAAATTCAAATGCATAACTATGGCTTTGCTTTTGTATTATCTTATTGAATGGACACATACAGACACAGAAATAAAGAGAAGAAAAGAGACTGTTGAACTGATCACTATGACATTTCATCTACTTGCAGCTGAAGCGGGGATCAGACCCATTAATTGTCCTGAATAATCTTTATCGCTTAACATCTCTGCAATCTACATTTAGCTGTAACATGGTGGGGTAAGTTGGTTGCTGTTTACACATGCTTTGTTGTCAATTTAATATTTTAAAATACTCTGATCACATGTTGCTTCTTTCTGGTGACAATTCTGGTGATTGATTGATATATTTTCCCTATTTCTAGGATTTTCATTTGATAGAAAAATATCTTTTGGAATAATTCTGTGATCATTAGACCTTGTGGGGAGTGGCTATGTGAGACTCTTTTACTGGCATAGGACTTGTATTTTTTGGGATTTTTAAGAAAAGTTTGTTGACCAAAACTTCTTGGTTATGGATTTTGGAATTACACATGTCAAAACACTAGGTTATTCTATTAAACATAGCTTTCCACTTGATCTAAAGGAAAAGATTCATGAATGTTCTTTCCAATTTCATCCTGCGAGATTGACTTGTTTTTTTTCAGAAGCTCCTTTAGAATATTGCACGACAGCCCAGAAAGTCAATGTGCAGATTTGTTCACAACTATTGTGTCTGGTACTTGAGTATAGCCCATTTTTAGTAAGATTGGAGCATATGATATGTGTGCCCTAGCTAGAGAGAGACTGTAGAGTGTTTAGACTACACATCAAACATATATTTATAATAGGAATTATTGATACAAAATAAGAAGTTACTGTAATTACAAAGATAGCAATTTCTGTATTTATAATTTGAATATAATTACATAATTCCAACACATAGGATGAATCTGTGGGTTTGAATACATAGTTGACCTATATATTTATAATGACAATGCCTAATAATTACAGATATTCCATTATTTAAAATTACGCTAATTATAGAGTTACCTTATTTACATACATAAATCTCAACATTATCTATATCAACAAAGAGATATTTACCAAATGCATATGGTTTCTACTTGTTCTATAATCCAATTTATATCAATATTTGCTCATCTTACTGTTTCTCTCTTTTTGATTGTTCATATTTTTTGTATTTTACTTCATTTATATTCTTCATGCCTTAATTTGACCATACCATTTTGTCTTTGTAGCATTCTTAATGGACAGCCTAAACAAATGGGGCTGAAGGAATTGCTGCAGGTTAGTAATTGCTGGCCTTAAGAAGTATACTGTGTTCACTTCATCTCTTTAAATGTTATTTTGAATGGTAATTCTTCTTCTTGCCTTCTAACAACTTAAAATTCGTTTGCTTATTAATAATTTATTGATATTCTTCAAAAGCTTTCATGTCCATATCAAATACACGCATACATTAATATACAAATTCAGTAGAGTTATATTAGTTTGTTTGCCCCATGCTATGCATGGCTTAGGCCTTGTTTGGATGAATTTTTTAGCAAACATTTGTGGAAGAAAAAAGGTAAGGAGGTAAAATGAATCAAACTTCTCTTATAACTTTAAATTATTAATTTATGCACGCATCCTAGGTTTTTTAGAAGCTCTCTCATCTAACTTTTCCAAAAGATAAAATGCATAACTTGATTTTAACTTATGGGAAAAGTTTGATTCATCTTCCCTCTTTATATCTTCTCCTATAAGTGGCTATGAGAACTTTATCCAAAATAAATCTCATACAATTTTCATCATTAAATGAAAATTTTGATTTATTTTATCTCTTTATCTGTTCTCCTATAAGTGCCTATGGAGAAGCATATCCAAACTAAACCTCGTACAAATTTCATCTTTAAATAAAAGAAGAAAGTCAGTTATTAAATTATAATTAAATGCATAAGTATTCTTTAAAAATTTAAGCTTAACTTTAATTTTCTTCCCTCTTTATCTGTAGGAACTAGTTCATTTAGTGTCAAATAAAACTTATAAATTTGGCAACTGTATTCAACATTCAACTCCCTAATATAGCCTTTTCTTCTGCTTTTAGCCGTTGTAGTGTTTTTAGCATCTTTTAGAGGAGTATATTCTGTAATTTCTTTTCTTCTGCTTTTAGTGGCTTTGTTTTTTAAGTTGGTGTGTGTTCTAATCTTTAGTGGCTTTGTACTGTACCTTTCAGGCGTTCTTAGACTTCAGATGCTCTGTTGTTGAGAGACGAGCTAGGTTTAAGTTGTCACAGGCACAAGAGAGAAGACATATTGTTGAGGTATGTCATAAATACTGTAAAATCTATTTGGCTATGCTTCTTTTGTCATGGGCATTGGTGTATGGCTCAGATGCATTTCACTGCTAAAGGACTATTTATAAATTTGTGTTTGTTTCTGAGCTATAGTTAATATGACAGAGATAGCGGTAAAAACTAGTGTAACACCTTTCCCATGTTCAAGCATGTTAATGTTGCTTATGTTCCTAGTTTATGCTGACAGCTGTCAACTCCTTGGAGTTCTTTAACGTGCATTTGTAATGTAACAAAATTCACAACATAATGGGTGCTTCTAAGCTTTACTTGCTTGAAATATTGTTGGATATCTTACATTCTTAAGGTACTTAGACGTTACCATCTGTCTTATGTATATGATTATTGCCGAGTTGTTAATTTTTTTAATAATTCTGTATCAGAAATTAGATTTTATCACAAAATCTAATTCAGATTACATCACAGGAGATTTTATATTTATATTTATTTCGTACCTGATTTTAGCAGATTGGTTTCCTTTTTTAGGAACCCATTGTGTTTATAAATCATTAAGTTGTATTAAGATGTTTCACATTAGTTAGGAATAGAGCCAAAATACTCCTTATAAGGGCTAAGACAGTCCTTCTCTTATGAGCGAGTTTTTGGGAGTGTGTTAGGATCAAGTTTCTTAACATGGTATCATAGCCTATCTAGTTTGAATGTTGGGCTACCCTCAGCTGTCCAGTCTTGCAAATTTCATGCATCAAATTTCCAGTCCTGGTCGTGAGGGGTGTGTGTTAAGATATTCCATAGTGGTTAAGAATAGAGTTATAATACTCCTTATAAGGGTTAGGACAGTGCTTTTCTTAAAAGCTAACTTTTGAGAGTGAGTTAGGCCCAAGTTTCTTAATAAGCTATATCCGAAATAAAACATTAGAGAAAAATTATTCCTTTTCCTTTCTGGTATAAAAAACTATTCCTAAACCTATTTGGCATGGTATCAGAGCTTTGGCTCTGAAACCTGCCTTTGACAAATGGCAATGACTGGTGCTACCCCTACTGGTTCAGCCACCACTAATAATGAAACAACAACTCCTCCACAACCAGCTAGTGAAAGTTGGAATGAAGTGGTGTTAATGGAGGCCCTCCCTCATAATTTATATCTCCAATTCATTGTACATACACTTGACTGAAAGATCTAATTCAGAAGAATTAATTATAGTTTCAGGAATGTCATCTAGTGGTTCCTCAAGACTCTTGGTGATGCAAGGGATGATCTTTAGGCTTGTTCTTCTTTCTTCTTGAGTAGACAATATCAAATGATTGTAAATTTGTACCTTTTTCATTCCCATTTGTTTCATGGGATTCAGAATCTTGTTCTTTACAACCTTCACAACTTTTTCTCTTGGATCGCAATCATTTTACCTTCATTATCATGTACAACTTGAGGAAACTACAAGTTCAAATAATTGTGAAGGCTGGATTGAATCTTCACATACATTCCCTATCCATGGTTGTTAGATCGAGATTCGAATTGTGAATCCGAAGACCCATTTTCTGAATTGTGATTTGAATTGTATGATGAATTGTAAGATTCACGATGAATTGTTAAAAATATAATAAGAATTGTGATTTGAATTATATCATGAATTGTAATATTCACAACGAATTGTTAAAAATATAATAAAAAATATTTCTAACAAAGAAAAATTAAATTCATCCATATATTGGAGCATTTTATAGTCAAATACTTAATTGTATAACTAATAAATGAAACATAATACAAAGATTCAAGTCACATCAGCCACAATGACACCAAAAAAGGGTTTTGACTGCATAAATCATCCCTATGTACCTTCAAATCAGCCACCATGACACAAAAAAGGGATTGTAACTGCATAATTCAGTCATATATACCTTCAAATCAGTCACAACGACACAAAAAAAAAAGGTTGTGACTGCATAAACCAGCCATATATTCCTTCAAAAAATAATAGCAACCAATAGCAAGTCACTATTTCTCATGGTAGTCAAAATTGAGATCTTACATAGGATTGGAAGAGGGTCAAAGGTTGTAACTTGTAGGATCGTAACATGGATCATGAGATTTTACAAAATTGTATGTGTGCATATAAAATAGTATAAATATGAAGATGATGGAGGCAAATGAGAGACACATGAGGAAAGGGAGCCATCCTCAAAACATGAGACAGAGACATGCTCACTAAAAATAGAGACAGACATATATGAGAGAAAGGAGTTTAGAATAAGAGAAGGAGAGAAGGAAAAGGAGTTAGGTGATGTATTATGAAAATTCATAAGAAGACTATTTTGGGGGTCTTTTTACCCTTAAAAACCCTAAAAATTGCTTTGTTGTGCGGGTAGAAAGGGGAAGACAGTTTACTTTTAAAAGACAAAAACTTTTTTACCCTTAAAAAATTGTAAAAACTGCTTTGTTTTGGCGGTACAAAGGGAAAATAGAATATTTTTACTTTAGCTGCTCTGTTACTCTGGAAGGCCACGAGTTATGCTGCCAATACAGCAGCAATAACTGCCACAGGAAAATGCTCCACCATGGCAGGTCTGTGGTAGTTGAAGGCCGCAACGCCACGCATTGCCTCTGTGTGTATCTGTTGGGTATTCTCCCTCACCAAAGGTATAGCATTGAAGTTAGTATCACATGATTCATGATTAGATAATGCAATTCAATGCTGTTCTGCAACTGAAGGATACAGATGGCAGGGAGTATTAATTTTGTTCCAAAAGCGCAGCTTGAATAACCAGAATCTGTGCTGAATTGCGATTCTTGTGCACGGTGCATGATTCTGCCATAGACTGGGTTGTGCATCAATCGGGTTGGTCGCGCGATATGGTTCACTAAAATCCCTAAAAAATCATTTTAAATTTTTTTTTTTTTATGTGAAATGTGAGGGTTCCGCTTGATACTCCCTCTGCATGTGCATAAGTGCATTGGGTACAGAACTGTGTTCATTCTTAGTAATACAATTCAAACATTAATTATGCATATGTTTAATTTGGGTATTAATTTTGTGTTTTTCAGCATATATATGTGTGTAGCATAATTTTTATTTGGTGTATTTCAAACTTCAAAGTAGGGGCCATCCTGCCATAGCGTTTTTGGAGTTGGCCACTCCGTGCCTCTATTCTGGATTGAGTACTATGGGCTGGAGAAAGTTTCCTTGTCTGGGTGCATTGCCCTAAATTTTGTGTATTTCTATCTAACAATCTTCCTTCCTAGTTAGGGATCAGATACCATTAAAATTGGCTGGAGATCTTTTGTTTTTTCAATAGAAGAAACGAAGAATTTTGCAATGGTTGTTAAAGAAATTAGATTTCTCTTTTGCTGGACTTGGAATAATAGTGGAAGTAAAAATTAAGTTGATTATTATGTGTAGCAATACTGCTTGCTGTCTTGATTGGAGATGTGATATTTGCTAGTCGCCTTGGAATGTGTTGATATACTCATGTTATTAACTTGTGACATGACTGTTCAGTTGGCATATCCTTGGTTCTCTGGTATTGGTGTTTTCTATCGTTTCTCTTGTGAATTTGTCAAAGAGATTAGAGTGTTATAATATTTATTTCTTTTCTTTGTTTATCCTTTTTTTTTTAATTTTTAATCTTCTTGTAGATTCTCTTGGAGTTTGTCCCTTCCTTCTCACTAAAATATTTAAATTTTCTTTTATATGTGTAGAAATAGAATCTGTGTTTAGTGTATATATTGCTAGAATCATTATTCATTATAAATATAATAAAAGAAAAAGAAGAAAGAAAAGAACAGGAGACTTCATAGTTCCATGTTTTCACTGAACAATTCAGCCAAACTAAACCCCTTTACAATGAGAAAAGAAAAAGGAGAAAGGAAGGGAGTTAGAAAATCTTATGCTTAAATGAGACTAATTATTGAATTTAAGTTTTATCCTTAATGACCTTTTTGGCTGTAAGCTTATGTTCTGAACAAACTCAGGGAATTCTGATTGGGTTTGATAATCTGGATGGGGTGATTCAAATAATACGTGAAGCTTCAAGTAACTCAGCTGCAGCGGCTGGTTTACGTAATGGTAAACTCCTTATTTACGCTTATGAATTGGCTTATTTCAGCTGGAAACTTTTCATTCTGTATCCCTATCTATTGAAGTGTTCTACTTGTTCTTGAAATGAAAGCATGTAATCATTGCTTGAAATTCTTTATCATTTAGCTATTTAATGTGGATGAATAATATCTATTTGCAGCATTCAGTCTCTCTGATAAACAAGCTGAAGCTCTTTTGGACATTAGCCTAAGACGATTGACCCTTCGTGAGGTGCATTATAATGATGCCTATAACTAGACTAGAATAATTGATTTTTTCTTTATCAAGAATTTTATAAATATATATGTGAGTAGAGTGTAAGTAGAATTATAAGCTTTGTCCTGTGCAGAGTGGGAACTTTGTGGCTGAAAGTAAATCTTTGATGGAACAAATTTCCAAGTTAGAGGAACTGTTGTCCAGCAGGAAAAATATACTGGAGGTATAGTTTCACTTTGGTGCTGTGTTTCTCTCATTCATAACTAACTGGCTTAGCTTTTGATACAACTGGCTCAGAATTGAAAATAATAGAATGAAATCTTTATTGAGAATGACGAAGAGTTACACTATCTAGACTACAAGAGGTTCTGGTCCTTCAACTGACTAATTTCTCTCCAAAAGACTCCCTACTTTCCTTCACAGGCTTTATATAGCCAATACAATCAATAACTATCCGTGGCTAACTCCCTTGTATTCATAAGAGACCTTTCTAACTACTTGACTATATATATTTATAACAATCATCTAATGTATGTGGTCCTCATCATGGACTGACCCACTATTCTTTCTCATAGACCTTTTTAAAAAAGGCCTCCTATCAGCTTTCTTAAAATTTTGATTTCATTGTTGCTAACTGTAGAGTTAGCACCTAAGTCTTTTTCTTCAGGGTGCTACTGGTATTACCTATTAGCTGGTAGCTGGTATGGCAATCAGGCAATGTGAAATTGTATTGGTGTCCTTTAGATTGTTAACGCTGTTCCTATCTTAATCTGATGTAGATAAAAAAGTCTGTAGGGGTAAATCTCAAGCACTGAAGGGAACAAGGGAGAAACAAGAATTGGCAAATTGCATAACAGCATAAGTAGGGGATTGACTTCCAATTAACAAATAACAAGTATACATTGAAACACCGTAAGAAATTGGGATTATTGTGAGTGAATTAAGTACTGCAGCTAATCAAGGACTAAATTTAGACTAATTACAGCTATTAGCTGCAGTCTTAAACTCTCAATCATAATTGATGAATATTCTAACATGTTAGGTATATTTCTCTCAATCAAGATAAAGCTTATTAAGCTCTCATCTAGGTATACATAAAATCACTCATAAAAAATAACTCAAAAATGTATCCGTGAAATAAATCATGTAGTGGGAGAGACATCATAGCAAAATGAGGAATTAAAAACCCTTTATGGGAGACAATGATAAACAGCCAGACAACTAGTGGATGGCTGGAGTGATGCACCACCAGATTAGATGAAGATGGATGAAACAAGTGAAGAAGGAAAAAAATATGGCTTTAGTTAGTTCAAATTGCCTTGAAACAACTTGAATTGGCCAGATCAACTGCTTGAAGCTGGAGGGGAAGACAACAAGCTACACAAGCACTTAGCTGAACAGCCAAATCTGAGATTTTTCATTACTTAATGATCTGATTCTGATGATGCTATATATACTGATAGTTATTCACTAACTAGAAGATAAAAATTGAATGCAAACTAACGATCAGTTACAGCTGTCATAACAGAATATAGAAACTTATAGAAGCTAGCCAAATGGCCTATATGAAGCCAAGCAGCAGCCAAACAAAGTCAGGAGCAGAAAACATCACATAGGTATAAGCTGATTCTAGGCAAACTAAGAAACATGGAAGCTCTTCACTGGTGGGGTTTGGGAATACTGTATCCGTTGGTGGAATAAGAACCAAGCAGTTGTCAAACACGAAGGTATGAGCCAAACATGTGTAAGCGTATTGCGTGTAGGGACAGCATGTGAACACACCTAACAGGCAACAGCTGTGAAAACTTCCAAAAATAGCCTTAAGTAGCAAGGAATGAAAATAAAATACATTTGTAGAAATCAGAATCGCATGATTGTGATTGATCCTAACTACCCAAGATAATCACCAACATGGAGAAATACATGTCACTAACGATGGTAAAAATGTGATAACTCGTAACAACTTGATAGCTAAACTTTACAAAAGATCTAGTGAACCTCTAATCTTTCTCTTTCTGTGATTCATTACAGATGCTGTTAACATTTCTTTGTTTTTTCTGGGATAAACTGTTTTACCTCTTTTTAATATTTTAGCTTATAGAACAAGAAGCCATTGAACTGAAAAATAAGTTTGCCTGTCCAAGACGTTCAATGTTGGAAGACACAGATAATGGTCAACTTGAAGACATTGATGTTATTCCAAATGATGATATGCTATTGGTATGTGGAAGCGAGTATATAATTCTTACTCTTGCACTGTCCTTTTCTATCAATAGGTATTTAGGTGATTATCATGTTCATGATGATGTTTTTTCTTTCAGGCATTTAGTGAAAAAGGTTACGTGAAGCGGATGAAGCCAAGCACTTTCAACCTACAAACTCGTGGAACAATTGGAAAATCTGTAGGAAAACTAAGAGTGAATGATTCCATGTCTGATTTTCTCGTTTGTCGTGCACACGATCATGTTCTTTATTTCAGGTTCTTTTTTGTTGCCTTGAGTAAAATAATGTCTATTGAATTTTTGGGACAATGAGTTTAATGCAGAACCGAGATGAAGAAGACTCTTGAATGAAACTCATTTATTTGTTTATTATTAAGAGATCTGTACCTTTAGAAAGACAGTAAGCCATGTATTAAAATTCCAATTCTTTAGGACAAATGGCCTGAACACAAGACTTGTTAAACCATAAATCCAGATTAGATCATCATCCATGATTTGTATAATTAGTGCTATAACAATTCTCTTTTGAACATGGGCTTTCACTCAATGATAATGTGTTGCTGCTAGCATTTTTCTTCATATAATTATTTTTCATCATGATGTATGTAGAACCTGAACTTAGTTTTGCGTTGGTATGCACCTTTCTTTGAAGGATACTGAGCTATTAATTGGGCTTGTCCTATGCCTTGGCTAGCCTTTTGAGTAACAAACAACTATTCTTTATATAGTAAATGGCATTATGCAGGCTTCATTCAGAATCATCATTTTTTTCCTTTTCTAGCTGTTGTTTATTATTTTACTGTCAACTATTTGAAATCATTGCATTGCAGCTGATCTAGATACATTTGAATGTGGCATGGCTTTTGAATTTTATTTTCAGTGATAAGGGAACAGTATACTCGGCTCGAGCTTACAAAATTCCTGAATGTAGCCGGACTGCTGCTGGTACACCACTTGTTCAGGTATTTTGGTCCTTTCTCAACACGACAGGAAAATAAGCATACAAAAACATTGTCTATAGTCAAGCATCTGAAGGTTTGGACAGAAAATATGATAATGGAAATAATTAAAAGGAGCAAGTTGTCTTCACTTTTATGAATATTCATATGTATCTAATCTAACAATTATCAGTTATGTTATGTATTTGAACTGTAAAATAATTATTTAATAAAGTACAAACTATTTTTGAATCTTATAAATTTGACGATGTTAATCTAGCTTGTGAGAACTTTCAATTCATTGATTCAATATTTATAAAACGATATTTGATTGTGTAGTATGTCATGGATCCTCAAATACAGTTAGTTATGCATGTATAATTGACAAACATGCACACCTAGAGTAATGCAATGAAATGATTTAGAGAGAAAGTGGGAATTTGGAGACAATTAAATTTGATGGAGTTAGGCATGCAGAGTAATGGAGAAAGAAATTGGGGTGTGACATAAAGAGGGCAACCTGGTGCTACAAAGCTCCCACAACAGTGGGGTCCATGGATGGGTTGGACCCATTATGGAAATATTATAGGCACTATGCATCCTTACCTTGTATTTGCAAATACTAATTCCATTACTTGAATCATCTGGCGGCATCTCTAAACTCTAATCATTGTGTGGAGCCTTCCCTTCAAAAAATTTGGGATTGGAATGTTTTTAAAATGTTTTAATTTAATATTTACACTTATAACTATGCATGTTTTAAATTTTTAACACTTGTACCAGACCAAACACAAGTTGCTTAAAATAACAATCTTTTGTTTTTATCTGGGCCAGATTTTATCTTTATCTGATGGTGAAAGAATAACTTCTATTATTCCTGTGAGTGAGTTTGCCGAGGATCAGTTTTTGGTGATGCTTACAATGCGAGGCTACATCAAGAGAGTATCCTTGAATTTGTTTTCATCAATCAGGACAACTGGAATCATTGCTATTCAATTGGTTTGTTCTCGTTTCAATTCCCCTTCTCTCCATTGCTGTATCTCCTATCTATTGTCCTACTGCTAAATTACTGGTAACATCTTTTCCTATTAGTATTATTTATGCATAATGTTTAAAATTAAAGGTTCCTGGTGACGAGCTGAAATGGGTCCGTCGTTGCACAAATGATGACATTGTGGCCATGGCTTCACATAATGGAATGGTCATACTGAGCCTGTGCAGTAAGGTGCGTTGCTATGTTATTATTTCTATTTCTTTTGTAAAATTTTAAATTTCAAATGCTTTTTAAACATTGTAATATGAGTGACTTAAATCACTATATCTGTGAAGAAATTTATTGCAAATCAAAGCATTGAATTTTGCCTGTATGTTGTGATCTCTTTGGAATAACTTGTCTTGGAAACAGTTTCAGGCTTTCAGCTGTTGTAAATAATTTAACTTACGAGAATTTAGGTGTTAGAGCGACTTTGAGTTAATTTTTTTTGAATTTGCTTGAGAGAAACCCTCAGCCTCTTAAATTTACACATAATCACTGTTCAGTTAATTCCCTATGCTTTCAAAATTATCCAACGTATTTATAGCAAATTTATGAATTTAAAAACGTACAGGAAATCAAATTTTAGTGAATCAAATTTTAATGAATAAGGAAATATGGAAATGAAAAAGAATGTCAAGATAAATTAGTGAAAATATTAGTATATCGTTGCCAAAAGTGTTTGCAGCTTGTTGCCATAATTTGTCATTATAATCTTTCTTCAACACTACCATCTTGGTTTAAGCTCAGATTCGCACACTAGGAAGAAATACACGAGGAGCAGTGGCAATGAGACTCAGGGAAGGGGATAGGATGGCAAGTGTGGACATTATACCAGCAGCCATGTGGAACAACTTGGAAACCTCATCAAAATTTCCTGGGAGCAAGTAATAATGACAAGATCCTGCATGCTTTTATTGGTAGTGAATTGATAGCTGTGAGAATTATGTCTGACTTCGTTTGTTTTACCCACGGGTCTGACTTCAAGTATGGTCTGATTGAGAACATTGTCCTATAACTGTGTAATTGTCTAGAATCATGTTCGTATGTGCTTAACATCACCATGTCTACTTGATGACAACATTTAGGTTGTGTTTGGATGGAGTATTTCAAAATTACTAAATTTTATATATTTGGATTGTAAGAAAAAATATTTTTAAAATACTACAAAATTTTAAGTAGATAATTTTCATGTCAAAAAGAAGGAATTTCAAATGACTTGCTTTTTGAGAGAATTTAAAAATTTCTCTATTTTGCTTAACATTATGTATGCCATTCATAATTCCTCTCATACTTAACTCCCACTACAAGCATCGGTCATTATTGCTTTAATATTTGTAGAATTTTAAAATTCTCCATCCAAACACAACCTTAAAGTTAAACAAAATTATATATTTAGTTTCTTAATGTGTCTTTGAGCATACATTTTGTGTTCTTTATTGAAATTCGTTTCAGTAAAATTGGTCCATTTGTTTGAATGCCCTGAACATAAATTGTAAATTTGTGCTTAACAACTATATTATTACTTACTATAACCCTCAAATTTCGAGTTCCTTGGAATTATACAAAATACAAATTCTCAGCTTCGAAATGGTATAGGTGTTTTGGGAATTCTAGTTGGCTTAAATATTTTTATTATATATTAAACTAAGAAAGGTTGAAGTCTATTTCTTTAGTTATAATTTTTTCTCCTTTTGACCTATATGATGATATTTTTATCCATAGATTATGTAGAGGTTAGATATTGCATCTTCTTTTATTCTGTCTTTAGCTCTTGATTACGAGTCTAGATGCACAAAGGGGAAGTGTTTTGCCGTTTTGTTGACTAACTGTCTTGTGAAGGCAATATGGGAGCAATTTATGACACATGTCCTTAATATATTTATTTACTATTTGCCTGCAGTGCTAAGGGCCAAAATGGCCCATGGTTGTTGTTTGTGTCTGAGAATGGTTATGGAAAGCGGGTTCCTTTAAGCAGTTTCCGAATATCATCTTTGAATCGAGTTGGTTTGATAGGATACAAGGTATTTTTATATCTTGGAAAAGTCCATTTCTTGACAGTAATGCAAGTTCCTTTTTTATTTAAAATGTTTCATTCTACCGGTGTAATCAGTTTTCTGCTGAAGATTGCTTGACTGCTGTATTTGTGGTAGGATTCTCATTAGCAGGTATTTTCTCTATTTTATGTGTAGTTTAGCAGTGATATCTTCAGTTACAGTTCTGATAATTACAATTACTAATTTTGCTGCTGTTATGATTATGTTGTAAACTTGTTTTAGTTATTGTGAAATATCATTGTTAAATATTATTGTCTCTACCAGAGGATGGTGAAAGTGATGAACAAGTGGTTCTTGTAAGCCAAAGCGGTACAGTCAACAGAATTAAGGTTCGGGATATTTCAATACAATCTCGATTTGCAAGGTAAAATTGATTTGGATCATGTTAACATATTTGCAGCATATTTGATTTTCTGAATCATAATGGTTATAAGGCCTATGATGTGTTAAGAGAGAAGTACAATAACCTGAAATTTACCTTCAAGCGGATATCTTACTCAGCAATAGATATTTATGGACAATACCACTTCCATGTTCTCCCTTAGAAATTTCAATATATGTAAATAACATCACATGTACAAAGGATCAGCACTAGGATCTAGTAAATGACATAATTTGACTGATCTTCTCACCTTCATTGGGAAGGCAGTATTTGCAATATCTGACCACCAAGTTGTAGTTGAATAGTCGAATTTCCTAACTAAAGCCTGCAAAATGGGCCTATTGATGGGCCGGTTTGAATAAACTAGCTTAAAATGAGGGTTTAGGCAGTAGAGTTAAAGGCCTGAACAAATCTAGACCTTTTTTGCCTGACCTGTTTAGGCCTATTCCCATGCTGACTCAGGATGAGGTAGCCTGTAGGCTGCTCGCAACTCACATTGCTATTTTCTTCAGTGATTTTCTTTTTTGTAGGTAATATTTATTTTAAATTAAAATTGTGATTTATAAATCAAAATTTATTAATTTGTTTTTATATTAAAATTTATTAACATAATCAATATTTAATTTTAGATTATAATAATGAGGATGATGATGATGAGAGAGAGGTCATTACCATTGGACATACAAAGCTTTTCAAGGAGGTTTAAATAATTGAGAGACTAGTTTGAATATTTGGAATTAGTTGGAGTGTTTATTACTTTATTTTAATTGTTGGATGAAGTGATTTGATGACATTTTTCGTTTTAAAATTGTTGGATAGATATTTGATGTTTTCAATTTTAATGTTTTGAAACAAAAATGTTGTAAAGTGGCTGCCTGTATAAGTCTACTACTCGCAAAGGGCCAAACTTGAGCTATCATTTTAAAGGTCTGAATTGTTCCAGACCTTTCTAGCTTGGCTCACATTAGCCCGCTATCTGATGGGGCCCACTAGCCTGCATTGATAACTCTGTTCCTAACCAGCCTCCTGTACTGCTCTTGTAGAGCATTTCCTGGAACTACATTAAACTTGACAATGGGAATCTCTGGAGTCCTGTATAATGTAGCTTTTAATAGGCATAATAGAAAATTACCTTATTCTTTACTCAACACAACCCCGTTGCCTGAAGTTATTGTTACAGTAGCCAAGTCTTTTGTCTGAAACTGAGTCTGAAGCAAGGAGTTAAAGCAATATATAATAAGTATAACTTCTAGCAATCACAATATCATATGCATGTAATCATCAGCCACTACAAAATTGCTGATAGAAACTAGTACCAATGATAATAATTTGTCATGTACATGGTAGTCAAAATCGGGAGTTGAATCGTAAAATCATAAGATTTTACGATTTGGGTCAGCCAAACGATGCAAATCGGAGCGAAAATCGGGAGAGAGTGGAATCGCAGTGAAATTGCGATTTGAACCGTAAAATCGGTTAAATCCCGATTTGATTTCGATTCAGTAAATTGCGGGTCGGTGCAGATTTTGACCCAAAATTTTTATAACCGAGCCCAACCCAATTTTTTAACCCGAGCCCAACCCAATGTTTTATTTAGGCGCGAAAGAAACCCCCGATACTAAATCCCTCTTTTTTCTTCAGCGAACCCCAGCTAATCCCAGCGAACCCGAAGCGACAACTTCTTCTTCTTCCTCGTGGTGCTTCATTTTTTCTCTGCGATCTCTCTGGTTTTGTCTGCCGGTCTGCGCCACTTCTACTTGGTTGCTATTTTCTTCTCATATTTCTTTGTTTTCATCATGGAACCCTAAACTCAAGGGGACAAGCTGACAACGACTTGCTAGTTTCTTCTTCCTCTGTTAATTTGTTACATTATAGATTATGCTTGATAGCTTTCTTATGGAATACGGATTATTTGAGTACTTTTAGTGATTTAATATATATTTTTTAATTTCAGCTATTTTATATGCAGAATATAAACTTATATTCATGTATATATAATTTTTGTAAAATCTTACGATTCGATTTACGATTTTACGATTTACGATTTTTACTTCCCTTAACGATTTGAAGTAAAATCCCGATTTTAACTACCTTGGTCATGTATTGCATAATATCATATGTTTATGTAGTCATAAGCCACAAAATTGTCTTATCAAATACCATATTTGCACAATTCCAAATTTCATGATTGCATTTGGACTCATCAATTTTCTATATATATCATCATCAATTGTCATATTTTCTATATATATCAAAAACTGAAAAACATGTTGCCATGACTCACTGATTCTTCACTTCTACCTGAAAAACAAATTTTCTATATATATCAAAAACTGAAAAACATGTTGCCATGACTCACCGATTCTTCACTTCTACCTGAAAAACAATGTAGGCAGGTCTCATTGGGTTCCATTTCTGAAAGGCCCATTTCTTCACCACAACAATCTAGGCTTGGTTTAGTAAGGTGAAAAAATGACCTTGTTTTTGTTTTGGCCATCCTTCCCTTGCTTTTCATTGTTTCCCATGTGAGTTTTTCTTCATCAGAGGTTTCTTAACAGTCACTATACACAGATTCTGCCTCAAAAGGAGGTTCAGCAAGCATGCATGAAACTCAAAATTTTTTTGCCTCTGTTGACCCATTGTGCTCAAACCCTCCCTATTCTTAGCACCCTCCTCCTCCTGTGATTCATAATTCTTCCTCCTTGTGAGGATGTGTCTCATTGAAGTAGTTTGATCTGTCCCTGGCTGTACGCCACCTTTGCCTGCCCATACATCTTTTCAATGTATTTGATTTCTTCCTCAACTTTTGCCAACTTCTTATGATGTTCTTTTTCAATCTTTTGCACCAATGCTTTATTCTTTGAAATTTCTATTTGCACTTCTTGTAAGAGAGGCAAATCTTCATTCTTGTTCTCTATTGCCAACAATTTAAACTTTGCCTGTTTTTGCTACCTCCAGATCTTCTTCCATAGCCATTTTGCTTTTTGTTTCTTGCTCGTTTCTTGCTTCTGCATCATCTCCACCAAGATTTGCTACTTCTCCCCCATGTTGGTTCTTACTTTCCACCTCTATCTTCACCTTCACATTTTTTTGGCTTGGGTTCTTGTTTCACCATGTCCCCCCTGTTTTCTTGCTTCCAGGACCCTTTGACTTCTATAGTTTTGCACCCAAGGTCTTGTTCTTCCTTGAGTTCTCTTGAATCTGCAATCTCTTTCTTCATTTCTTCAAGAAGGTTAAGAATTTCATTATTCATTCTTGTGGACATCTGAACAGCTCCAGAATTCACCATTTTGCAGTACCCACAGCTCGATGATTGGAGCTCTGTACCAGTTGATAGAAACTGGTACGATGATAAGAAAGTGAATATTTATCAAGAGAAAAAAAAAACCCAATTCCAGACCTATTCCCAAGGTGGAGGCAGAACAAATAAGGAAAATGATACAACAATAACTCTCCTGGATATCTGAGAGACCAGGGAAACTCCCCCGCAACTGAATTATGATTACCCCCTCCCCCCTCTCTCTTTCCACCTCTATTATTTATACTGTCCCTCCTATTTACAATTATGTAACTAACTACTAAAGTCCTCATTACAGTCCCAGCCCAACAAACTATCCAATCAACTCTGACAAATTATTCAACTAATTAACTAACTACCATAGGGGTTATCTATCAATTGTCTCTATTTTAAATTGTGATAGAAATTCTGTAACTGTATGATTGATTTGCCAGCATTTTATAAGGCACTGTTCTAAACCATATTGTAAAACTAGCGAGATTTAACATGTATGTTTGTATACTTTTGCAATGAAGTACAACTAGTGAAAGACATAAATGCAATCAAATTTAACACGTGCTTTACTGCCCTTAACATTCCCCCGGTTTGATTTGACCCAGTTTGCCTCTGAAAAACAGTTTCGTTTGAACCTTAAATCACTTCCTGAGTTGTGCTCCTTCCTCTCTGTTCTTGGTTGAACCTAGATGCCATTTTTGAATTGTTTTTATAATTTGTTTTACAATTTTTACTCCCTTGTACGATTCAAAGTTAAATCCCGATTTTAACTACCATGTTTAGAAGAGTTTGCTTGAATTCCTTTGTCATTGGATTGTTGTGTCAACTCCTCAAGAATTTCCTCCAACTTCTAAAAACTCATTCTTGCATTTCTTGTCCTCTTCTAGATTCTTTTTGGTCTTCCTCCAATTGCTTCATCACCATTTTAGTACCACTTTCCAATAATTCAGTTGAGCTCCATCCTCCCATGTTTTGTTAGTAGACACATAATCAGATGTACCAGAATTAAGAACCGAGGTTTAAGAGAGTAGAGAAACAAAAGATATGGGATTACTAGACTTGAGGTTGGGCTTTGAATTCTTCTGAACCCATGTGAACCAAATGAGATTCAACAATAAGCAGGTGAGTTTATTTGGGTATCGGGTCAATCGAATAAAAAGTGAGTTAACAGTGGATAGTTTTTGTCAGGTTTGGTTTATCCAACTTGCTTGGTAACTGAACTGACTGAACTCATACAACTTTTTTGAGACTCGTTCCTTCCCAATATACATTTCCCTTCATCCATTTATTTATCTCTATATCCATGTATCCCTTGCCACAACTTGCTACAGTTGACCACCCAACGACATTGCTACTTCTAACTTTTGAGAGCTCCAAATTCCTAAACCCTAAAACAACACACACACTCCAACTTCTGTTTGTGTAGTTTGCTGCTTGCTGTTGAAACCTAAGCCACGACCAATGACAACTTTGAGGAGCAAGGGCTTAAAGTGCAGAAGGCTTAGATGTTTGTTGAATGTTGTGAGGGTGAGACTAAGGCTTTGCCTCTGATAACAAATATAAAGGAGAGAAAATGATTGTTGAATGTTGGGTGTCTCTTGTACACAACTCTATTATTTATACTCATGTATAGGGTACAAAGAATATCAAATCTATGAAGATTAGGTAATTACGATATTTACAATAATGACTAATATGAAGTTATCTAACAAATTGGATACCTACTAGTTGGTTGTTAACTTCTTTAATGCATTTGTTTGGTGAATTTTTGTCAGGGGAGTTATTTTGATGCGACTTGATTATGCTGGAAAGATTCAGTCTGCTTCCTTGATCTCAGCAACGGATTGTGAGCCTGAAGAAGTTGTTGCTATTGCTCAAGGCTAGTTATAGAAGAACTTCATTGTCGAGAAGAGGTTACTTCACCAAATGCCTGACCACTGGAGTTGTAGTGCCCTTGATGAAAAGCTGATGCTTGATCCTTGAATCGGTGCTTGGTTGTGTTTTCTCTTGAGATAGTCCTAGTTTTCCTCATGCTCCAAATATGCGAAGCTGGGGGGGGGGGGGTAGTTTATTCTTCAGGCTTTGTAAATTATAATGTGACTTAAAGAGTGAGAAACATACACCAGAGGCGATAGTTATTGGTGCAAAATTTTAATTAACTCTTCATTTTTGTAACAGCATTATTAGAAAAGGTGACCATCATCTCTTGGAATTGAGAATCTTCACGCCAGAAAAAATTTGCCATTTTATGTGAACTTTTTCTCAAACTATCTAGTTTGGTGATGTTATTTTTTTAAAATGAAAAAATCAGCTGACCCAAACAAAATAGTAATAGCTTGTGTAAAAACTGAAATAGCAAAAATTGGTTTTTATGCATGACTTGGGATTATGATTTAGTTTTAGATAAACTTCAAGAGAAGTTATTTTTGGAGAAAAAATAATATAAAAAATTGATACATTTTTTATAAGTTTGAAATAACTTATTTCTTTGAATTTTAAAAGTTGAATAAAATAACTTGTTGAAAAAATGGAGCATAAATTGTTTATCATAGTCCAAGTCATTTTTGAGTGATTCTAGTCTATTTCTAAAAAAAAAATGACCATTTTATAGTTTAGTTAGACCGGTCGTCAATGTAAAATTTGTTCACCTAACCATGTATTGTGCACATTTAATATGTTACTACTAACCAACCAAATTGTAGGAAAACTTAATTTATAGGACTGCATTATATGAGTTGTGTTGAAAAACAAAGAAATGATCAAATTGGTGTTTTGAGGCGTTTGTGTTAAAAATAATTGTCAATGCTCAACAGTTTTTCGCAAGGAAACTGCTTGTAGCTAACAGTGTCCAGGTTGGTCAAACTGACACTCAAGAGGTCCAGGCATGCATTGATGATTCTGTGAAAGGTATGACATTTATTTTACAGATATTTAACTGCTCTTTAAAAATTTATGATGACTATTCCTTGGTAGAATAGCTTCAAAAAGGGAAACCAGAAATTTGCATGATCTAATGTTTATTTTTAATTTATTTTCTCTGCAGTTTCTAACTATGATATGGTTGCGAGTCATTGCTTGAATCATGTCATGTCTGCAATGGAGAGTAAATGGGGGATTTTTTAATTCATGTAACTGGGATTTTCTCTATGATCCAAGATAATGTCTATTTTCTATACAATATTCGTCATTGTATTGTTTAAAACCTTCATTTAGACTATTACTAAATTAGCAAGGAAACACCTATTTGATACATGCTCAGATGAACAATGGTTTGGGGAGTAGTTTTTGTGTGTACAAGACTGTGGGAGGCAATGTGATCATTGGTGTCTGAATATTGGCATCTATATTTTCTACACAAGAACTCCCAATTTTAGTTTTCGCATGTTGAAGGATTCATTGTATATCCAATTTTTTAAGGATAGGGGGTTCCTACATGCATGTAAACTAGTAAATTGATTATTATCAAAAGAACAGGAATAATAGAGAAATTAGTGCTAGGTTCAACGTGGGAAATGAAATGTTTTTAAGTTCAAAATTATTCAACCAACATATGTATTTGGATACGTGTCTGTGTGAATAAGATTATGTTTGTGTACAAAATGATCTACTTTTGCGTTTTATGTTTCCGAAGACTTGTTATATATAAAAAAAAAATTATTGAGAAATAAATTTTTTTCCTAATTGATGATTGAAATTAAAATTTTTGTGCTAATATTCAATTTTTTTATCAAACAAAACGCATTAAAAGTTTATTATAAATGAAAAAAAAAAGTACAAATCATATGACAGAGTAACATTTTATGTAAATTTTTTTTCGAGCCCTACCAATCAATTTCTTGCTCACCAGTTGAACCTCACAAACCACGAAACAACTTCTTTATGCTTTCGGTGATCATATGGGCACCTGTCTCATAAATGTATTTGTTGACATCATTGATATTAAAAAAAAAAATCACTAAAAAAAACATTAATACTACTTAGTAGCTCCAGTAATATATAAATGTTTTATTTTAAAATAAATAAATATATAATTTAAAAATTAAAAAAAGTACACACCCCTGCATAATGATTAAAAATAGTTTAATTAAAAAATTTATATATGTATATGCGTGTAAAATATTCTTATATAATAAATTTAAAATATAATATAAACAGTAGCACATTTATATAACATTAAAAAGCGTCTCTTTAATGAAAAAAATTAATTAAATATTTCAATAAACTAAAAATAATAATTATGATCTAATGGATTGCATGTGCATTTTGTACAATATAAATAAATAAATTTATAATAACGCTTGTTGATATGAATATAACATTTTCAACGAATCAAAATGATTGCAAAGGTGCTTAATATAGTTCTTTTTAAAAAAATATTTTGTGGAAGAATGAAAAAAGTATAACATATAATAGTAGATTATACATATCATCTTTCTTTTACTTTAAATTTTAAGGTTTTATTTACTTTATATTATTCTTTCTTAACATTTATAGTTGACTTTTTTATTTATTGGATAGTCACTGTTAGCCCAACACACTTACAAATGTATAATTCCTATTAAGTTGTGTTATATATACTTGGATTGTATGAAATTCTATATGCTGGAATGTAAACATGTAAACTGTACAGTTACTGGATGGAAGTTTTGAGCTGCAGTGCTGTTTGGTTATTCGTTGAAATAAGACTAGTAGTGAGGGTTTTGATTGGATAGCAAGCATTTTATATAAGCAATACTTCTTTTAAAATGGTGTTGCATATGCTTGGGTTATATGAAATCTATGTATACTTGCTGGATAGGGAGCAGTGTATTCATAGTGATGTGTGATGATATTGTTGTAAGTGATTAGTAGTGCAGGTTTGGGATTGACTGTTAAGTGTATTGTGCATGTGAAAACCTAGGAATTATAGCTGAAGACTTGTAATGCCCCATTCTAGGGAGAATTAAGAGTCCTAGATGCAGAGTGTCTTACTCAAGCGAGGTAGTTCTTACTCAAGTGAGACTGAATCATGCTGAATTAGACATTTTGGAGTGTTCTCACTCAAGCAAGACCAGTCTCACTCTAGCGAGACAAGATAAGACTTCCCCAACTATCCCCTCGCCTAGACGAGAAGGGATCTCGCTCAGGCGAGAAGTAACCTCGCTCAGGTGAGAGAAGCTTGCCCAAGTGAGGAGTCACAAGAAAAATAAGTAGTTGTCTGGACCAATCTCACTCAGGTGAGAATGTTGCTCGCTTAAGCGAGGTGCAGTTTGCTCAAGCAAGAATAGCAAAAGTATGAGAGGTTCCACTGTCTAGTTTGCTCGCTCAGGCGAGGACAGGGCTCGCTCAAGTGAGAGCGCGCGGGATTGGAGGGGTATTTAAGGAACCCTAACGCAGGGAAATGGTCATTTCTCATCAAATAGTCTTCCTCTCTCATTTTCTCTCTGTTTTCTCACCTGTTTCCCTTAGGAAAAACCTTCTCAAAGCTGAATTCCTTCTCGATTCAAGTAAGAGCATCTCTTTCATCAAGATCTAGGTGAGTTTTTGAAGCCCTTTCCTCTGTCTTTACTCTTGCTTCTTTCTTTCTCTTCCTCAAGAGTTTTATACCATGTTGTTCTAAGTAGATTTGAACCATTTGAGCCGTACTCCATATCCAAACGTTGGATCTATCTCTTTGGGACTCACAAGAAGCACGATTTTAGAAAACTCGTTTCAGGTAAGGGGAGCTTACCTAAGCTAACCTAGTTCATTTAGTAGAGGCCAATATATTAATATAAATGGTTTCGTTCCATGTGAGCTGATTAGTTTCATTGTATAAATACATAAAGCTGGATTGCTGAGACTGAGAGTGTATATATATATATATATATATATATGTATGTATGTATGTATATATATGCACATGACTGTATTATTGAGGTTGGTAATATACATAGTTGTGCTGCATCATATTAATTTTCATCATTCTAGAGCCGAGTTACGTGTTTAGATGGATGCTGAGCTGTACTTGTCTGGATCCAGATATTGGGATTAGTAACTTCTAGACTAGAAAACAGTTCCTCTAAATTACTTAGGCTATGAAACTAGCTGGAACTGAATCATTGCATTTGCATTGAACATGATACATCAATTGATTGAGACTGTTGTGTTGATTGCTATGAACTATATGAATAGTACAAATAATTTTAATATTTTCATACTTTATAGTTATGATTCTTATTTGTATAAGCTCACTCTTATACTTATTGTGTTGTCATGTGTGTGTTGTGATAATCGTACTGTGGTACATAAGCAGGAGTGATAGGTGGAGTGTCTACTTTCCATGCTGGAGAGTCTGGCTAAGGAGTGGTTTGGGCTAAAGATTTTGAGATCTGTAGCTTAGTTTTCATTAGTCTAGGTTTTAGTGTGAACTTAGGCTATTTGGCTATAGACTTGATGTTATGATGTAGTTATTATTTATAACTTGTATATTTAGCTCCACGTAGAGCATTCATTGTAAGCATATATACTTTTATAAAAATTTTGCAATTGTATGGAAACGCCCTTGGGCTTTGTTATTTTGTTGGGGTTTAATTTCTGAAAAATATATTTTCTATACTATATATATTATCTAGCAAATAAATTTATACTAAGAACAGTGATGTATGATGTCATTGATCTTTTATAAAAAAGGTCATGATAGCCACCATCTCAAAGTACAATTTCAACAAGTTGATGTTATCCTTTACCTCAAATTTTAACCTATATTAAAATAATAATATTAGTAATTATCTTAAGGAAAAACTAACAATATAGAAGAAAATTCTAAATTAAAATTGCACTTTGACTTTTTTTTAGACCTACAATTATTTTTCTTTTAGTGAAGTTCAACCAATCTCTTTAACTACTTTTATAGAATTTAATAGAGAAACTAACCTCACAAGTCTAAAAACAGCAAATTAGCCCCTAAATATAAATGCTTTGGTGTTGCCTCATTACCAAATATTTAATTATAGAAAATCAAAGAATATTTATTAACTGCTTTTTTCTCAACTTAGTAGCTACTTTCCAACCATGGTTAATGAATAACATTAAACCATACAGAGTTACGTAACTTAAGATTTCTTATTTAATAATTAAGATAATTTTTTTCTTTTATTATGATATAATAAAATGAAGAAACATTAATAATGTAATGTTGTCACAACCGGGGCTGCGACGGGAAAAAATGGCAAAATCAGAAATAGAAGAGAAGAAAAAAAAGATTGAAAGAGTCGCCACCAAGATTTGTAAAGAAGCCTAGAAA